AAACCCAAGGCAATTAAAGCTGAAGAAGGGAGATTCATGGCTATTTCTTACCAAAAAACCGAACAAATCACACCCACAAAGCAGGAGCAGCCGGATGGTGAGGAGCAGAGCAAGGCAGATCCGAAAGCTTCCTGCAGGGGGGAGAATTTCTGGGTTCCAATCAGGTTCTAGAGCAAAAAAAGAAGGCCAAAAACCAAGCTTTCTACCGGTTTCTCTTCATGGGAGGCTGTCGGCTTCCCTCTTTTCTCTTTCTTTTTTGGCTGCAGCGGGAAGAAGATGAAGAAGAGCAGAATCGGGCTGAGAAGAAAGAGGAAAAGGAGAAAAAGAAATAAGCCATCCTTATCCAAATCTTTTCCCTTTTTAAGTCCCTCAACTTAGCAAATTTTGGCAATTAAGCCCAAAACAATCTTTTCTCACAATCAAGTCCTTAACTCACTTATTTATTCTAGAAATTTTTGGGGTATCACAGTTCTTCCATTTCTATGTCTCGAACAACTCGTTGACGAGGAGGATTTTGTCTTCTAGGAGGCATGATGAGTTTAGGTTGGTAAGGGGCTTTTTGCAAAGTTAGTATTTGAAAGTGGGGTAATTTGAAAATTTATAAACTTATGGGATCAATCTGTATGGTCAAAATAATTTGAGGGACTTGATGACGTGGCAAAAGAGTGACATGTCACTGACGTGGCTGATGACGTGTCAAGTGACGTGGCATATATGACGTGCAAATGGATGATGTGGCAGTGACGTGTCATTGATGTGGCTGATGACGTGTCAAGTGACGTGGCACAGATGACGTGGCAAAATGGATGATGTGGCAGTGGCTGGTTGATGACGTGGTTGATGATGTGGCGAATGAGAGGTTGAAGATGACTGGCGCATGAACTTCACGCGATTTGCAGTGGTGCGGTGGCCGGCGCGTGAGGCAAAGGCGGTGGCGCGTGGGGGCACGTGTGACCTTGTTTGTTGATCGGATTTTCACCAGAATGCCCAGAATGACGTGTAGACTCCAAATATGTTGGCTCTGATACCAAATGGCGTAGGAGTCGATACCGAAACACCGATTTTGGTGAGATTTAGAATCTCACTACGATGAATTCGATTGCCAGATTCACCACTTAGGTTGGCAAGTCCTAAGATATACAGATAAATTGAGAGAATCCTCTCCCAAAAAACTCACTCAAAGGAGGAGAAATATAACTGAAATTTTGGATTAAAACTTGATAGGTACAATGGTGATAACATGGCTATTTATAGGCAAAATCTAATGAAAGGCAATAAATGAAAAGTAAAATGCAGTTGGGAGTTAATAGTTGGAATTAATGGCTATGTTGACAAAATTGCACCGGCCTAGTGGTGCTGCAGAGTAGCTTCT